TATTCTGCCAGTTTTCTTTTTTTTCTTGATTCTTTACTAGAATTCTCTAATACTCTTTTGAAAACTCTTTCCTCTTGGTAAATTTCATAAGTAATCTTTTCTTTGTCTAAATATGTTTGCAAAGATTTGGTATCTGCTAATTTAAAAATATAAGGAGCAATTTTTTCACCTTGTTCTTTCTTCAAAATACTTCTAATAGTACTATAATTCTTTGGTTCCATAGTAGACCTAATGTAAATGAGTTTCATATTAACTATTTTTGTCTAGACAAATATCATGATCACATTACATTGTAATACAATTGTGATATTAAACAAACACTATTGATCCCCGAAATCCTTTGTAATACCAATGTTCACTTTGTCTGGTTTTGTTGCAGCATGCCCCATATGACACTGTCACAGGAACAAAAGTGATTTTTGCAAAATATCACCATTGAAAATCTTGTACTAATTTGTAGATTACTGTATATTTCAAAAAAAGAACCTTTTTGTATATAGGATGACCCAAATATAAGAATCATCAATTGAAAGTCATTTTTCTTTATTGTTAAATTCATTAACAGTCCTTTTACCTATATCAAAAGCATTTGATTAACGATAATAATGATAATTGAAGTCCTGAAGTTGTGTAGGTTTGACACATTAAAAAATGTTTGTTGCTGTTGGCATCTTTTTTGAATATTTGATTTTGTTAAATAGGTTGGTTTATATATATTAATATGACATGAAAAGAATTCTTTTATCAGTACTAATGTTCTGCACATTAAATGAAAAAATTAAATTTTTTTAAGAATAATAAAGAAATTATAATTATTTAATCACATATTGTATATGTAAATATAGTATAGTTCAGTAACGAATCATTTAATTACTGTCAAGGATATGCATCAGTTCAAATAAATGCTGAAGAGGTTGATGATCAATCTGGTAAGTCTGATAAATCAATTACCACAGAAGATGGATGGATGTAAGTATTATTATTATAATTAGTGATTATGATGATATTGTAATTTTGCTAAAATTTTCATTTTCATTTTATTTTTTAAATGAAAAATCATGGACATGTAATTTCCTTTTATATATAATAATAAATAGTATTTGGTCTCATCAACGTTAAAATGTTTGCCTCATAAAATAATTATATCATATTAATTTATTTGAATGTAAATTTATTAGAATTAAGGAATACAATCATCAATGTGAAAAATATTTTGAAATATTATATTTAAATATAAATATCTCTCTTTATTCCACATTAATAAACTTCTTTGTCCAAATAAATTATATGGTGATATAAAAATCTATTATATTATATTATATATATATTAGATTATTAGATTATATTATATATTAGATTAGAATATAACCATGTATAGCCACATCTATATTATATATTATGAATTTTGAGTTGAACTTTATTGACAAGGGTTGGTTGATAATACCACTCTATAAATCTTGACCATGCTAATGAAAATTAATAATATAGATTGATTAATAATAATAATAATAATAATAATAATAATAATAATAATAATAATAATAATAATAATAATAATAATAATAATAATAACGGTAACAATAATAGTGATGGTAACAATAGTAATAATAAATAATATAATCACCCCAGAATGAAAACTTTCTGCCTAACCATCTTCCTAACCATGGAATCATAAAGACCAACAACATTTGTTGTAATTGTTCAACAAATTCCTCCCAGTCTTCCTCGAATTCAATAATATCGCTGCCATCATCATTCTCATCATCAATAATACCTTCTTCTATATTAATGTCTTGTTGTGATGATCTATTAATACCATTACCGTTGTTATTGTTATGATTGTGGTTTATGAAAATATTTGTTAAAGTCTCGTCAATATAACCACTTTCGTCTGTTGGAAGTTGTTGTGTCGGTATACTCGAATTAAATTGAGACATTTTACAATAAAATAAAAAGGAAGAAGGAGGATTTTACTATATGATCGACATGGTACATCTTCCGTACAACAGACTTTAAACCTGCTGACCAACTTTAAGTCGCTGTATACGTCATTAAAGGATAATTTAAGGGGTTTAAATGCTACAAACTGCTGAAAAAGTGACGCGGATCTGCTTCCAACTTGTATTGAACGGGAACGCATTAACAGAATTAGTTTATTATATTTTTGACCACCGTTTTTTACCTATGCATGTAGAGATATCTAATATATGTACATAATCTATTTAAAGATAATGTTTAAATTTCGACCACGAGTATAATATATTTATAATAATGGTTGAGTTCTTTGAGGCAAGCTTTTTAAAATGTTTTCAAGAATATTGTCAAAATGAATGAAAATTGAAATATCTCAACCAGTGTTACTACTGGACATAATCAAAATTTTCCCTGGCTCGGACTCAACATCCAAAATTCCAGAAGACACTGGTCGGTCATAATCGAGCTGCTTTGCTCAAGTCATTGTTTATTTTTGTCTAAAACAATTTCAATGACCTTGAACCACTTTCGATTGCCTAAAAGTAAACTATATTAAGATAATTTAACACGTACCATATTTAGAACATTCATCACGACGACCAAATTTTCTTCTGCTATGTTGAACCAGGAAGTCGTATCAACATCCTGTAGCAGTTATTTTCACGTTAACGATGGTACTAATTTGCAAAAGCTTCGTCTTAATTTTCAAATGAGATTTATATATAGGAATATCAATATATGTAATTAACTAACTCACGTTACATTGACCTGTCAATATATCAAAATCACATAAACTTACACGACAGGTTGATATTGAGCAAGCAAGATATTAATATGCATTGCAAGTCGCACAAATATATCATTTACTATTACTCTAATTTATGTGTAAACAATAATTTGTTCTTGTAATTAAAGACTTTTCATTTGCAAGCCAAGAATTTCAATAAGAAATTAGAGTAAATAAAGAACGAGATAAACAAATAAATTTATTTGATTGATTTCAACAAAACATGAAATCCAGAATTTGTTGAGAAAAAATCAGAGAGATTATAATAAACCCTGCAATAAGTACTTATCGAAGCAGGAGAATTTCCTATTGCCTGCTTTAAAAATATTGAAAAAATCAAGCCTTGGAGGAAGCCTTACTGTCAGTTTTTGGTAACACTGAACTATTTAATAAGGAAGTGGATTTGTCGAATATTATTCCTTTGGTCACCACTTTTACTCACCAAACAGAAAGGCTTGCCTGATCTTTTATTTTCCATTTAGATTGAATTAATACTGATGCTTCAGCCAAAGAAATTTTCCTTGAATAGAGCAATATCATTGGTTTTATTCTCTTTCAATTTTTCTTAATTTGGCTAGCAAAAATAATCAAATAAAAATGGGTAGTAGGATATATGTATTAGTATGATAATTGAATGTTTCACACACACAGCTTTGAACCCTTTATGACGTAATGCTCAGTGTATATTACTGTATTAATATATTTGTATGGTTGGCTTAGTTCTTCCAAATATGGTAATCAATTGAATATTTTTTTTGTTTGTTTGTTTGTTTTCCCCATATTATTATTATTATTATTATTATTATTATTATTATTATTATTTATTCGTGCTCTTCAAATCATATAATTTACAACGTGTTATGCATTATAATGTATATAAATGTCTATTGTTGAAATATTCAACGATTGGATATAATTCAAATCTAGAAAGATCTTCATTCGGGATTTTCAATGGGTGAAATCTCATTTAGCTTACTTAATATTAAGTATGACACTAATTCATTTAAATTTAAAAATATATTTACAATTTTGAATTCGCGAATATTTGAATTTTTACGTTGTGGCACAAAAAGTTTAGCGGCTCGCATTTATGGCGTTATTAATTTTAATCTTAAAAAGTCAAACCATCAATAAAAAGTTGATGATTTAGAATTTAAAAAAGTCTACTGCTAAAAAAAGAAAATTATAAATACGTTAATGATAAATGATGAGATTTACAAATACCCATAATTATATGGAGAACATCATTTAAAAAATACAATATTATTGTTACGCACGGAATTTAAAAAAGTATAACGCAGATATGATATGTACATCACATTAGCAAGTTGTCATATGATAAAACAAATATAAACAAACTTTTTGAAAAAACAGCTATAAATATGCGGAATTTTTCCAAGAAGTAAAAATTACAAAATGTCTAATCAACAATTTCAACAGCAAGCCAATTACCAACAAAATCCCGTAATTTACTACAATCCCAATCATCATCATTTTGGAACAAATAATCCACCATTTTTAAGCGGAGACAATAATATTAATGCTGATAATAACAACATAATGTCACCACCACCACTTTTATCATTCTCCCCGCTCCAACCTTTATCATTCTCACCTCAACTACAGCAGCCATTCAAACCACTGCAACCCTTACCATACTTGCCACCTGAACAATCCCAACCTCTATCATTTTCATCTCAATCACAACAACAACCTCAACCACATCAATGTTTACATGATAGTAATAATGATTATGGTAGTAATTCCGATTTAAATCCCAATCCCAATTTAACCGATTATTTTAGTCTTGCTAATTTAAACATTAAGAACATTCCTTTATCGAATTCCAACAATAATGACATTAAATATAACAATGATCTTTTAGTTCTTTCTCGTCATCTGTCAATTATTAAGCATTATATGCTAAAAATAAACCACCATTATTTCGAAATGGAACAGATTGTCAATTATTTGAAAGATCAAAATTTTTAAATATTTTTTTAATTATTATTACTTTTTCCTTTTTTAAAATTTATTTTCTATAATTACGTTCTAATGTACAAGATTTTTTTAGTATATACTATTAAAAAAACCAAATAAGATATAAATTTTCTTAAATATATAAATATATATATATATACAGTATCAACAAAGTTAATTACTTAAAATGGGCAGAACTAATAAAAGACAAACTCATATCACAAATTAATCCAAGCTAAAAGAAAAAGCTCCAAACAAATATTTATGATCCAAATTTATATACCACGTGTTGAAAAGAATTTAAACGAAAATCTGAGTTCCGAACCTTACTGGAGTTTTGATGATAATGAACCCTGAGGTATAGCGGAGATCAACAACTTCCAGCTGTATAATAAAGGGAGTTTCTAATTATGGTTATTCAACGAATATTTTCAATTATTTTGTTTTTTTTAACATTGATGATTGTATCAATCGCACAGGCAGTAGTTGATTTAAACAGTATTTTTAAAATGACAATACTATTGATTTTATTATTTATAGAAAATTTTTTAATAAATCAATAAAATTTTAAAGAAAATACATTAGTCGGAATTAAGATTTTGCTGCTATTACTATTGCTATTTGTTTCCAAGCAGGTCTTTCGCTATATGAACAAGATTAGCCAAAAAAAATTCACCAATCAAATAATATTTTCCCTAAGAAATTTTTCATAGACATCCAATGTCCGTTCAATTTTTTCTTTTGCTTTTTTACCCATATATTTTACATAAATAATTTCTTCGTGATTAATAGCTGTTGATGGTATTTCAAAATATAAACTTTCGACCAATAAGTATTGTTCAACCAAAGCGGCCTTTTATATATCTTTTGGAATCAATGTTGTAGAATTCTTGGTTCCTTGATATTTGTTTACGAGATAAACCGTCATCAATCATTACTGGGACTTTCCTCCTAATTTTTCGATTACTTTTTTTTTTTTTGTTATACACTGTATATTAGAGAGAAACATTTTATTTATTTTTTAATTTGATGTTGCAAGTCTCTCGTTTCTGATACTGCTGGACTATTTATCTTGTACCAGAATTTTATTGCGAATAGTTAAATTTTGAATGCTACAGTCCCGGGCGAAAAGAATGGCGGCGGGAATGTCTTCTCTTTTTTTGAGCATAGCATTGCCGTTTTACAATTGGAGTATTTATTTATTGTACTAAATTGCACATGGAATGCTATTTCAAAAAACAATGAAAGAAAATACCTTAAATATTGTTTTTTATGCTTGTTTTATTTTTTAAAATGTTAAGAGGACTAAGTTTGATAAACAAGCACCATAATTCAGTATTTTCAAGATTCTTGATATCCTACTTAATAATTTGTCTAGAAGAATTAGCTTGCCTTTCAACTATATTATACTACAACAGTGTTTGTTATTTTGCATTATTGTTGATGGGCATGCTTAATAATAAAATGAATCAAATATATACTTTGCAATCAGCATAGGTTTTTTCGATAACCATGTAACAACCATGTGATAACCCTGTTCTGATGTTCATATGTATGACAATGTCAAAATAAATTTTTTAATTTTTACCAATTTATTAGGTAAAATCTAAATTGGGTAGAATTGATAATTTCGGCCCAGCTTGCTTTTAAAAAGACCTGATCCACTTTTTCTTTACACATGATAAAAAGAGAAACCTGGATATGTTTTAAGTTGATGTATATTTATTTTAATTACAAAAATTAAAATGTCTAAAAAATACCAAAAATGATAATATGGATATTATAATTGATGGTGATAAAAGTGATGACGATTGTGAAACAATTAGAATAGAGATTGGTGAAGAAGGCGGCAGTGGTAGTGATAATAAATTTTATTTTTAAAGTAAAAATTTAAAAAAATGCAATCAAATTTGGTCGAGTTAGCGAAACAACTTCTTAATGTTCTTTTTTGCAAAATAAAATGTTAATTTTAATATCAATAGATTCTAAATTAATAAAATTTTAAAGAAAAATACATTAGTCGGAATTAAGATTTGCTGCTATTTGTTTCCAAGCAGGTCTTTCGAAAATCCTTTTCACCCATTTAACAACATTGGGTCTTTTAGCATCATAATATACATCTTTAGCGCTAGTTTTATGAACATTAACATAGATATTAGCTATATGAACAAGATCAGCCAAAGAATATTCACCAATCAAATAATCTTTTCCCTCGAGAAATTTTTCATAGATATCCAATGTATTTTCAATTTTTTCTTTTGCTTCTTTGACCTTTTCAGCATCAGCTTCTCTATTCATATACTTTACAGCAACAATTTCTTCAAAATTAATGGCTGTTGATGGTAAATCAAAATATAAACTTTCGACCGATAAGTATTGTTCAACCAAAGCGGCCTTTTGTATATCCTTTGGAATCAAAATTGTAGAATTCTTGGTTCCTTGGTATTTGTTTACGAGATAACGACAGATTGCACGCGATTCGTAAAGTGTAAAACCGTCATCAATCATTACTGGGACTTTCCCGCTATTAAATATAGCAATGATAAATGATAATAGTTAATTTATTTTTGAAGAAGACATTAACACGAAAAAAGTTAATAATAATAAAGATTATTTACAATGGATTTTTTGTGGCAAGAAAATCAGGTGATTTCATTTCATTATAAACGCCTTCTTCAAATTCATGTTCTAGACCTAACTCTTGAAGGGTAAGAATTACTCTAAGAGTAGTGGGTGATTTACCAAATCCGATAATTTTAATACCCATTTTTTTATTTAAAAGCTAATAATAATTTGGATGTGAGGAAATTTGTGAGTGTATTTATATTTGATGATGATGATAATGATAATGATAATAATAATAATAATAATAATATTTCCCTTTTCATTATCGTAATAAAATTGTTCCTTGTATCAAAGCCACAATGCACAATAATAATAACAATAGAAAAAAAAGGGGATCCTCATTTCTCTTTTCAGAAAGTTAATTAATATAGATTCAGAATCATTAAATTTCTTTTAGCACCTTCAATAGTCTTAAATCAGAGTTGAAATTACATGTACACATGTGCATTTTGACGTGAGAACACTTTTTACTTAGTACACGAGTCACAGCTACTCGATAAAGGCCAAAGTTAACAAGTTAGTTAATTAATCATTTTTAAAGATAGTAATAAATATCTATTCTTAGATTTACATTACTATGCACATGTATAATAAGTCATATCGGCAGGAAGAAATGTCGATCATAATAACTTTTTTGTATATATACTCTGATGCAAATACTGGTGATAATGATTGGATGTTAGCAAATTAATACACTGATTAACTTTTATGTCCAAATAAAAGAAAGTGATTGTTTTAATGAATAGTAACGCGAACGATGGTTGTAATTAAAATTTTCTTTTAGTTGAGAAAAAAAGAAAATATTTTTGGTTCGTTTATTTATAGAATCAATGCATTTTTATTATTATAATCAAAACCTGATTTTTCGCCAAGAATTCAATTTCCTTATATTTCTAAGAGTTTGATTATCTTGATCAGAGAAATACAATTAAGGAAAGAAGTAATCAGATTTCTTTTATTGAAAGATTTTCTGTATCACAAAAAAATTTAAAGCCTTTCAGGAAATCACAAAGGATGATTATTCCGAAATTCTACAATTTACATACATAGACATATATAAAATGGCCTAACTTTGAAGCCTTATAACTCAAAATAAACCGAAAGAAATGAAGCTTAGGTCTTTAGCTTTAATTCTATCGGTTCATTTTTTTCTTTTTCTTTTTAATAAGGAGTTATAAGCTTTTAAAGTTATATGATAATCATTGACCATTATAGATGTCCTGCACTATAATTTTTTTTTTTTAAGATTGGACATGCATGGCTGGCCCGTGTGATTGACATATCAATTAAATCTTTCTAAGGTATATGTTAAGGAGAGAAGCATTTTAATTTTTTTTTTTTCTAATTTGATGTCATTTTTGGTACTACTGAACTATTTATCTTGTATCGGAATTTTGTTGAGAATAGTTAAATTTTGAATGCTTCTAAAACAATATTAGAATACTCATATTTTTGTCTTCTTCTGGTGTTTCTTGTACTGCGGAAATTATCTCGTACAGACAGTCAAAGCTTGATCCTCAGTTCCATATGTAATTTTTTATTTTTTTCTCATTCTAATGAGAATCCATTGTAACGAAATACCAATTGTAACGAAAGCCCATTGTAACCAGAGACAGTTAATTATAAAAAAAAAATTGGGGAAACATTGTAATATGATTTTTACTATTTTCTACTGCAATAACGAATAGCAATGTTTTATTTCATCTCATGTAGCAAAAACTAACCACAAATCAAAATTTTAAACTGTTTCTAATACTAAATTGGCACTAGTATGAAAAAAAAAATGCACCATTTTTTTTCAAATCATGCCAAAAAGAATTTTTAATTTTTACCAATTTTTACTGCATTTTTAAGAATTGGCAAAATCAAAAATTTGGCCTTATTTTGTTAAATTGGGTAGAATTGATAATTCAGTTCCTATTCCACCAGCTTGCTTTTAAAAAGATCTGATCCACTTTTTCCTTTATACATGATAAAAAAAGGGAAACCTGAATATGTTTTAAATTGGTGTATATTTTTTATTTTAATTACAAATTAAAATGTCCAAACGATGATAATATGAATATTATAATCGATGATGATGGAAATATGGGAGGTGAAAATGATAAAAGTGATGATGAAACAATTAGGATAGAAAGTAGTGATAATAATATTGAAAATTATATTTAGATATTTATTTCTAAATTTTTTTAAAAAAAAACTGCATAAGATTATAATTGAATTTTCCATCAACTAATTTTAAGCGATTGACTGATCGAGTTAACGAAACAAAAAACTTGTCATTTCTTTTTTGCAAAATAAAATGTTAATTTTAATATTTATATCAATTTATTTTTTATTTGTTTGTTAATAAATTTTAGATTAATAAAATTTTAAAGAAAATACACATTATTCAAGTTTATGTTTTGCTAATACTTGTTTCCAAGTAGGTATTTCGAGAAGATTTTTCACCCATTTAACAACATTGGGTCTTTTAGCATCATAATATATATCTTTAGCGCTAGTTTTATGAATATTAGCAGAGAGATTAGGCACATGGCAAACATCTGCCAAAGAATATTCACCAATCAAATAATCTTTTCCTCCGAGAAATTTTTCATAGATATCCAATGTTTTTTCAAGTTTTTCTTTTGCATCTTTGACCTTTTCAGCATTGGCTTCTCTACCATGATACTTGCTAACAACCTCTTCAAAATTAATAGTTGATGTTGGTATATCAAAATATAAACTTTCAACCGATAAGTATTGTTCAACCAAAGCGGCCTTTTGTATATCCTTTGGAACCAAAATTTTAGAATTCTTGGTTCCTTGGTATTTGTTTACGAGATAACGACAGATTGCGCGCGATTCGTAAAGTGTAAAACCGTCATCAATCATTACTGGGACTTTCCCGCTATTAAATATAACAATGATAAATGATAATAGTTAATTTATTTTTGAATTTGAGAAGAAAACATTAACATGAGAAAATTTAATAAAGATTATTTACAATGGATTTTTTGTGGTAAGATATTCAGGTGTTTTAATTTCAGTTATGCTGGTAACTGGTTCGAATTCATATTCTAGACCTAATTCTTCAAGAGTAAGAGTTACTCTGAGAGTAGCGGTGGAGATAGCGAATCCAATAACTTTAATACCCATTTTTTTTAAAAGTTAATTTTGGAATGTGAAAAAAAAAATATTTTTCCCATAATAATTTTTATTCTAATAAGTAACACAGTACGCGGGAGACAGTTTAACCGATGAAATTCTAATACTTTTTTGGAATTATTAATCAATATAATACATTTCAGGAGAACGACAGTGACTTGCAGTGCGCGAGCATGATTTCATGATTTTACACCATTTTGCGGCATAAAGTAAACATTTTGCATTTCATTTAAAAGTGAACACAAAAAATTATTTTATTTTTAAATGTTTTTTAAAGGTTGTCTAGCATGCGCGGCAAGCACATATTCTTGAGTATGTCTACAACAACCTTGACAATCATTATTTATAATGGTTCTTGCAACCATATTTATTCGATTGTGAAGGTTGTCCCCTATCATTTATATGATCACGTTTGATTGCACTTTTCCATTTGGAAAAAAAGCAATTCGATTGGTTTCAATTGTGACGAATAAGGTGGATACAATACATGATAACCCTTTTCATTTATGGCTTTGTTGCACAGCTGCAGTTTTATGGAAAGGTACATTATCCATTACGAACAGAGATCCTAATTCGTTATTTTGTCTTTGCAGTACATCATGGACTTCATTTAAAAATTCAATGAATGTATCAGAATTATAGGCTCCAATTTTGAACCTAAAATGTAAAAGACTATCAATCGATATCGCTGCAACCATCTATGTGAAATAAAATTATATTATTACTTGTAGAAGATACAGTATAAAGCATTGTTTTTTAATAATCCTAATAAAAAACCTAACGGATGATGTATTTACACCATTTTTGAGTAGGAACACTTATTTATACACGATTTCCCCTTCTTGAGCGTCCATGATGACGACAAAGATGCAAGTTAAAACCTATAATTATATACAACAATCAACACGGTTACATTACGATTTTATTACTGTATTACTGTACAGGTTTTATCAATGTAAATAATTTTAGAATTTGGCATCGTCAGCTGTTGTTCTAAAAAGTGTGAGCCAATTCTGCTCGTGTATTTAATTGCATCTTCTGTATTTCTTGCTTGTGGGATTATACGTGCTAATTTTACTGTAAATCCTAAAGATTTGAGAGCTCGTGATGTAGTGCTAATATGTACATGAATATCTAACTCCTATAATCAATACATTATACATATTAATATGTAAACTTGATAAGTTGGTCATGTCGAGGCGGACCCCTGTGACCGACTTATCAAGAGAATTTCGCGTGTTTTTTTAAATTTAAAAATTTTTTTTTTAAAATATTTATTTACTTGTTTTTTATCTCAAACATTAAAAGGTTGCGAAATCAACCTTTTTATACATAATAAAATTTAATAGGAATACAAATATATTTCTTCGCATGATATAATCAATGATATAAGTGATGATATAAAATGAGATAGAAAATAAGATGTATTGTTCACAATTAGACAAGAATGTTCTCTAAATTATTGGAATGATACAATCAATGATGAGATAATAAAATATAAATGCATTATTCATGATAAATCATCAAATGATTAAAGCGAAAAAAGTTCTCTTTTTAAAATTACTTGAGAAGAAAAAATAAAGAAAGAATGTGTGATTATGCATTACAACTGATAGAAGTAATAAAATATAAATGTGAGAATGATTTCTAAATTATAAGAAATGAACAATAAAGATAGTTCTTTTACGTCAGATATTTTATTACAAATAATCATTTTGCTAATGACGAATAAAAAAATTATTAAATCATACATTATTAAAAATAGTAATGACCCTTCACACAACAAAATATCACATGAGACCGACTTATTTAATTATACTTGGGCTAAATGATTGACTGACTTAGACTTCATATAGATTAGCCGAAACTTTTTTAAATAGTAAAAAAAAGGCCTGCAATTACTGAGAGCTCAGCTGCTACTAAATGAGATTGTGGAGGTGAATGGCCACAATTGGAAGAAGCATTAGCATTTTTGATTGATAGTCCAATTAT